AATATAAAAATTAAATATATATATATATATAAGTTTTGAATTTAAAAAAATTAGAATAACCAAATGATATCATTTTATTTTATTTTATTAAAATACAATTTAAAATTTAAAAATTTACTCCATTAATGAATATTAATATCTGTGTGTAAAAATTAATTATATATTTTAATATAATTGATTTCTAAATCTATATATTAACAGTTAATATGATGAATTTTTAAATTTTAAATTTAATTTCTTAGTTTTCGAATATAAATATCAATTTTTAATATATAAAATAGATTTTTAAATTTTTAATTAATTTTTAATTAAATTAAATGACATCATTTAGAATTAAGATTCTAATTTTTTGATAGTCAAAATTAAAATACAATAGTCTAATACAAAATATATAACTTATATAATAAGTATGTTTTTATGCATCTTGCCCGTCAAAATATGCTTTGCTCTAAAAAAAAGAGGGTTGTTTTTGTCATATGAAAGAATAGAGTTCAAATCCTGTTGGAGAAATGATGCACTTAATAAATAATGTTTTATTGCAAATAATTTCATCAAAGGTTTTTTTGGGCTAGTGGCAAAATTTTAGGCCCAATGAATTGATTAGGTGATGAGCTCTGGCTCCATTAGTGAATTTTTGTTATTCTAAAACTTTGTCCCACACCTTGAACTGGCCAGTCAGCTGGTTCACTGCTTTACCAATTTTCCCGGTTCATACTGGTTTTATCGGTTCAACCCCACAAATGGTTTAGGTATTTGACCAGACCAGATTAGCAATTCGGTAACAGTTCAATTGGTTTAACTAATCAGTTCGGCTCAATTTTAAGAATACTAGTTCTGTAGTTCATCTGCTCCAGGAGCTCTCACTAAGTGCAGTGGTTGATTTTCTAAGAAAAATAATTAATGCATGTTCGGTTTAACATTTTTTTATATTTATTTGATTTAATTATTAAAATATAATATAAGAACAACATGATTTAATTGATTCTGCATCATAAATCTCATTGAAGCATTTTAAGTTTATTTATTTTTAATTTTATATTAAAAAATAATAATTTTTTAAAAAATATGTTATATAATATATTAAATTAAATAGTATACTAATTATAATCTATATCTTAATCTTTAATAATGATATGCTAGTGCGTTGCACCTGCAACTTAAAGGGTTAATATTTTTGTTTTTTATTGTTAATGTATTCCTGTCCTTAACATCTAGATTTTAACTCTGTATACACATGTCAATCACTTGAGTATCCTCCCTATTTCCGCTACTGACTTTCACATAACATTACATTATATTATAATTCCTGTTCTATCTTTTATCCATAAAAAAAGATTTAGTGTCGGCTTAGTATAGTACTTTAGGGATACCAAGTAGTGATTTTGTTTAAATTATTAAAAATATATACTTAGTAAATTTATTTAAGAGCTTAGATAAAAATATGGGAGAAGTTTTAAGTTTTGCCTTAGATATGTGGCTGTCGTGTGGATGAGCAGCTAGAGCCACTGCAAATGAGGTAGGAAATGAATTATTGAGGTTTCTTATCAACTGAAGAAGACTCAATCGCAGTCCACTGAAGAAGACAAAGGAAATGATGGAAGAGTGGCCTCAGCCCCCAGGCCCAGGGTGGGACAACTTTAAAGGGAAGTTGTTGGTGGGTGCCACAGTTCATACTTCATAGGTTCATCTCAATGTTTTTAAGATCGAACCAAAAATTAAATCATTTTGATCTTTGGTTCTCAATTTTACAGATTTAACCTATTTGATTGCTTAAACTTTTGGTCTGCTTGGATAGTAATATAAAATATAGAAATTAAAAATATACATAAGTTTTAAATTTAAAAAAATAAAATTTTAACTTTAAATAATATCATTTTATTTAATTAAAGTACAATTTAAAATTTAAAAATTTACTCTATTAATAAATGTTAATACTTACATTTGAAAATTGATTATATATTTTAATATAATTGATTTCAAAATTCATATACTAATATTAAATATAATGAATTTCTAAATTTTAAATTTAATTTTTAATTTTCAAATGTAAAAATCAACCTTTAATATATAAAGTAAATTTTTGAATTTCAAATTAAATTTAATTAAATTACATGACATCATTTAAAATTAAGATTTTAATTTTTTGAGGATCGAAACTAATATATACTATTTACATACAAAATATATAATTTATATAATAAGTATATTTTTATGCACCTTGCCTATTGAAATATGATTTGCTCTAAAAAATGGGGGGTTTGTTTTTTCATAAAGAACAGAGTTCAAATCCTGTTGGAGAATTGATGCACCTAATAAATAATATTTATTGCACAAATAATTTCATCAAAGGTTTCGTTGGGCTAGTGGCAAAAATTTAGGCCCAATGAAATGATTAGGTGATGAGCTCTGGCCCCATTGGTAAATTTTTGTTATTTTGAAACTTTGTCCCACACCTTGAACCGGCCAGTTAGTTAGTTCACTGCTCTACGAATTTTCCCGGTTCATACTGGGTTTTACCGGCTCAACCCCACAAATGGTTTTACATATTTGACCACACCGGATTAGCGATTCGGTAACAGTTCAGTTGGTTTAATTGATCGGTTCAGCCCAATTTTAAGAACGCTACTTCATCTGTTCCAGTAGCTCTCACTAAGTGCAGTAGTTGATTTTTTTTAAGAAAAATGGTTAGTATACATTTAGTTTAATACATTTTTTTTATATTGATCTAAATTAGTTATTAAAATATAATATAAGAATAGCCTAATTCATTGATTCTACATCCTAAATCCCATTAAGATGTCTTAAGTTTATTTGCTATTCAATCAGTGATGCAGTATTGAATAGCAACAATCTCGCTCAATCAGCAGTGATTTCCTTGATATGATGTTGGGAAAGAAAAAGAAAGAAACATAGTTATGTATCATTTCCTTCTAGGTTTGCATGACAAGGCCTCAGTTAACTCATAAACTTAGAACTATTGTGAAATTATTTAATCCAAAGACGAGTATGATGAGGAGACATATTTATTACCACATTTCAAGTAGTATGATTAGGAAAGAAAAGCACACCAATATCCCTTGTGGCACCGCTGAATGCTGAGAAACAGCAAAATCCCAATCAGCCAACTGACTTTCAGAAGGCAAATTTCCATACACAAAAACAAAATGAAAACTACACATTAAATTGCAGAAACAGGATGTGCAAGTAGATGATTACATATAAACCTGGATTAATTCTTCAGGAGAAAACACCTAGTAGAATTTCCTAAACAAGGAAAAAAGTGAGGAAGAAAAAACGATTGATTCTATCATCTCTTATCTCTACTGCCCATTTCCCCTTTCGTAATTTAAAAGCTATGGTTTTGCTTCTGGGATTTTCCTTTCTGTCTTTCATATTAGATTGGGTTTTTATAGTCAGAAGGGCTGCTCAAATTACCAAAATGCCTTTAATAACACCTTCTGAATACGTGGCTTAAATTTAGATTCTAAATATATAACTTAATTTTGTTATCAACAACCATTTAGTTGTTGATATAAATGTGCGCCTATTTATCCTTTTGAGTTGGCTATTTTTGAATACATGAATATGAATGGCATGATGATTGTAACTTTATTAAAATTATACATACTGTGATTTTATTAAAATTGTCAAATATAT